TTTTTTATCAATTTAAACTAAAAATAAGCTTACTCATATTATAAATAAAAAACACAACTTTTCATGCTTTCACATAAGACAAAGAATGCTTTCTCACACACACACGCACACACAAACTCAGTCTTAAATTGAACTTTAAATTTTGTCTTTAAAAAATTTACTTATTTTATTATCTAAATAATGTGTGTATGAATTATATATAACATAATTATAATTATATATAACATATGTATATAAATTATATATATAAACATATTGTATATTACATAAGTATAATTCACAAGTTATATTTTTTGCATGTAAAAAGTAACATACATATAAAAAGTTAATATACATATAAGTAATTATATAAATATATATACATAATATATAAAATATTATACATGTACATTTAAGTATGTTTTAAGTTTTTATATAGTTTTTCAAACAATATATGTACATTAGTTATTTACTATAAAGATAATAAAACAAAAAATTAAAACAAAGTTAAATTTTACAATAAAAAATTCGTGAAAAAAAATGTTTCCGCCCGGGATCGAACCGGGGACCTTGTGCGTGTGAAGCACACGTGATAACCACTACACCACGGAAACGTCGTTGAGTGCGGTCTCTTTGATTCAAGAGATATATTGTATATAACTGAATATTGAATTATATACTTTGTTTTTCACATTTTACATATTTGTAAAACTTTTTTTTACATATTTTTTAGGGCCAAAGTTGTATACTTTATAGTAATATATATTATATAATATAACTAATTTATATTTATATACAGAATGTTCCAAAAATTTTTATCAAGCCGAAATGTGAAGGTACATTGTGCCAATCTACGTGACAGCTTCTTGCAATTAGCCAATATTCGGCGGCACAGAGAAACCAGTCGAGAGAAAAAGGCTGTTTGCTCGTGATCATCTGATTCTTTGCGGTGTAACGCAGCGAACAGAGACAAGTGATACAGAAAAATAAGATAGACATCTTTTCGCGTTTAATAGTAATATCTTTTCTGTGTTAGAAGAAAATGAAAGCACTATTATTTTCTAATTTTCTTCCGGAAAGCAGCTTTTTTCTTTCTTAATTGCTTTCTGTGTACGGCCAAATATCGGCTAATCGCAAAAAGTTGTCACACGTCACACTGTTACACGTCGCGCCTGCTTATTTATTGTCTCTCGTTGCTAGAACATTGCATGAAGTAAGCCATTTTTTTTACAGCTGATAAGCATGCGTCTACAGAGTCTGGACCATCTCTTCCCGCGCGCTTATCGGATTAAATTTTTTAATTACGTACTTAATAACCATTTCGAATTGTGCAAAAATTTCGATACATAACTTTTCTATTTAGATTGATCCAATCTATCTTCACACTTCGGTTTGATCAAAATGTTTGAGCCACCCTGTATATTTACATATACACATACATATACAAAGTGTCCGACAATTGGTGTAACATTTCTCGTAGGCAGATAGGAGTCAAATTGTCGAAAAGTCGAAAAATCTTATATCATTTTGCGAAAAATAAGAAAAAAGAGATATAAGGGCCAACACAAGGTAAAACAGCGGATATTGTATTTTGCCAATCAGTTGATAATATACTTTATTTTCATAACCAAACGTTTCGACTCACGATTGAGTCTTCTTCAGTGGTACATAATGGAATCTAATCAATGATAAATTACAGAAATAATGTTCAGTTCACCACAAATACATAAAGATAAAAAGAAATAGTTAACTCATCAATGGAAAATAAAATAAGATAAAATAAAAAGCCAAGTATCAGCAGTCAGCAAAAAAATTCAGTAACACTCCACATGATGTCTAACAAAGTAAAATCAAATTTAACAAAAATATATGAATTAACATATATAATTAAAAATTTATAAATAAGAATGAACATTACTTGTCACGAGAGTAAAATCAGAAACAAAAAGGATGTTCATATGTAAGCACAAACGACTGTGTAATGCCCGGCTTTTTACAAACAGTGTATATATACAAATATCCCCTCCAACAGAACAAAAGTCGCAAACTTGTCGAGAATCATCAAAACAAACATAACATGAAACTTATTTACGCTTGTAAGATTCAAGAAAAGCAAAATATGGTTTCAGTTGCTCCGTGTCTGACATAACATTTAACGCATTAATCTGTAGTTTCATATGGAGCATTTCGGAAATCTGTCTTTTTAAAAAATGTCTTTCTTGATCCAAGATAAAAACGTCTTTCCATTTAAAATCGTGGTTTGAATTAAGTCTGTGTTCAGTGATTACAGATGCTTTCTCATAATGCCTATTAATCTGGCATCTATGTTCGGAAATCCTCGTTTTTAATTTTCTTTTTGTCTGCTCCACGTATGAAGCATTACAATCAGCGCAATCAATACAATAAACTACATTTTTCTTGTTATCATGTTCAATGGGGTCCTTTAAAACTCGTATGTAATTGTTAAGTTTGTTGATGCTCCTGAATGCCATCGAAATTTTACAATTCTTGTCAAACAATTTTGTCTTGGTGCTACATTTGATATCACTTCTTTTGTAAAACAGGTTTTGTAGAAAAAGATATGTTTGTTCGGCGTGTACATGGCGCCTTTTTTTCCCTTTTTTAAAAAGGTAAGTTTTGCGAGATATCACACATTTTGTAGAATATACGTTTATCTTCAAATTCATCATCTTTTCTATTCTCTCTTTTTTTCTCAATTCTTAACAATAGTAAAATATTTATTTTTTTATTTTTTCCAAGAAAAGAATATAAACATTTGTAGCACCTTTAGGCCAATGGTGTTTTCTAATTTGCATATCATCAATTCTGAGCCAACTCGATTTTTCATCTCTACACATACTTGTATAATGACTCTTTTCAATACACAGACCAAATACGACATTCATTACTTTATACAGCTGTCCATTTACTGATACTTTAGTTGTTGATACAGCATGTACATTACGCTATACTTACAGTTTACAACTGGAGATTATATGTTACGTAATTTACACGACCACGATTACCGCGGCCACGATTACCGCGGCCGCGAGTACCGCGATTTCTATAATACTATAATTGTCTTGATCTTCCCGCACTTGTACCTCTTCTCCTTGCAAAAATAAATATATGATTGTACATATACATACATTTATATACCATATGTATATAAGGAAAAGATAAGAAACAAAAAAAAGAGAGAGAGAAAGAGAGAGAGAGAGAGAGAGAGAGAGAGAGAGAGAGAGAGAGAGAGAGAGAGAGAGAGAGAGAGAGATGTATATAAATATACTTACGCTTGATTTCTTGTGTTTCTTGTGTCGATATCTCTGCAAAAAATATACATATATACAATATACGTATTTACAATATGTGTGTACATTTTCGTTCTGATATTCACAATATTAAAAATCTATACTTCACGTCACATGTGCTATAGATTTCCAGTACTGGCAAGAAATATTCAAACGCATAAGTAATGTATAAATAATTCCGAAGTACCTTTACTTTCTTGTGATTGCTCTGCAACACTTGCTTCTGGTTGACCTGCAAAAAGCAAAAACGTATACATATAATTTATTTAATTGTACATGACTATCTGATTGTCACATTGTACATAAGAGAGAAATTTGTGTGTATGTGTTTGTGTAAATAATGTGTACCATAAAAAAATATACTTACTTTTTTCTATTGATATGGCAACTTCATCAACATTCTATTGTGTGGTTTCTGTAAACAAATATGTATATAAAATAAAATACAGTGTAGGTTACAAAGAAAAAAATTAAACTTTACTTACTTTTATCGTCTTGTGCAATGACTTTTGATATTGTAGCATCTTCGATTTTTCATTTAATCGTCGATTTTCTTCTTTTAATTTCTTATTTTCTTCTGTGTCCAAAGCAATGTCTTCCAATTCTTTCTCAATATCCATTTTTTCTGAGTCCATTGTATCTGTAAAAATATTGAAAAATTATAAAGCGGTGTACATGTATACATCATCAATTATTAAAATTTATGTACTTTTATGTAATGTTACTGTAAATGTTACTGTTTCTTACCAAAAAGAGCTTGAATAAGTAATTCCCTTTGATTTCTAAAAAAAATATTATTCGGGCTTTGATTCCTCTGAAGTGAGAAAAGTATAAAACTTTTCCTATCTATAGTTAGTGTTAGCCGTGGTCGGTTGAAACTAGAGAACTTCTCACGGAGAGAGTCGCAATCTCGTTACGTCACAGTCGCTTTTAATTAGTCAGAAGAAAAAGCTGCCCAAAGACGTTATAAATTTGCGATTAGTTTCTTTCTTTCACTCTTTTTCATTCTCTCTCTATCTCTCTCTCACTTTCTGCTACTCTCTCTTTCATTCTCTTTCATCCTCTCTCTCTCTTTCTCTCTCTTTTTCTCTCTCTCTCTCTCTCTCCCTCTCTTTCTTTCTCTCTCTTTCTCTCTCTCTCTCTTTCTTTCTCTCTCTTTCTCTCTCTCTCTCTTTCTCTCTCTCTCTTTCTCTCTCTCTCTTTCTCTCTCTCTATCTCTATGTCTCTTTTTTTCTTTCAGTACATTAATAATTGCGATTATTCAGTACATTAATAATTAATTCTCTTCCTTATCTTTTTCGTTCAACTTGCGAATGTCGCCATCTCTTGGAAGCAGTAGTACTAATGCACACACTCCTTACACATTGGAGACGAGGTCCGAACATGATAAAATTTTATATATTTTGAAGAATATTTTTAATATCGTCAAACAGAAGACACAGACAAAAAAACACATAGACACTTTTTTTTTTAATTTTTATAATCCGAATCGATTGAGACTAAAAAGAAGTCAATCGGTTCAGTCGTTATTGAGATATGAATATTTACTATTTCACAATTTCTCTCGAAAACTGATATTCGCGTATAATAGGTACGGTGCGCCTTGCGCAGTTCGTGCGCCACTTCGTTGCGCGTGAACTTGGCGCGATGCACTGCCGTGCCTCTTGATATACGAACAGCGAAACGGTAACCAAATTATTGTTATTGTAATTTCGATTTATAAGTTTCCAAAAACGAGGAATAAAGTTTTAGTTTTTTGACATCTCACATGTTTGACAGATATGGTCGCCAAACCATATCCTAATGAAGACACAGATAGATATAGATTTGGTCTACAAATTTCGCAGGCGGTTGGCGACAAAACCGCTACATCTCGCAACCAAATTGTTTGCTGAGTATATATATATATACAGGGTGCGCCATCTCAATCTGGTCGATGAAAGTATTGAATAACTCTGACAGATTTTAATCGACCAGCGTCGTACAACACGTTTCGTATAGGTTATTTCAGTACAATTTCAACCATGTATCGCTATACGCCGAAAGAACGCGCCGAAATAGTTTCGCTTTACATTGAAAATAATCGTTCAGTTGTTTCAACTCAGCGTGCGTATCGTAAAAAATATCGCGGACGTTCTGCGCCCAAAGGCGACACTATCCGTCATTTGGCTTCAAATTTTATGAAGCACGGGTCTGTAGCGAATCTCCAACATCAAGCTCGACCGCGTCCAGGTCGTTCAAATAAAAATATCGAAGCTGTTCGACAGAGTGTTGCAGAAAATCCAAATGTCTCATACCGCCGCCGGTCTCAGCAATTAAACATCAGTGGAACCACTTTGAGAAGGATTTTAAAGCAAGATCTTTACATGTTTCCGTACAAAGTGCAGTTGACTCAAAGATTGTTGGAAACTGACAAGCCGCGACGCTTGGCTTACGCTAATAACGTTAGTCGAATGAAGGAAGCTGAGCCGGATTTTTGGGAGCGAATTCTGATGACCGACGAGGCTCATTTCACCCTCTCTGGCGCTGTCTACAAACAAAACTGTCGCATGTGGGGCACCGATAATCCTCATATTATTCACGAAACTCCATTGCACGATGAGAAAGTGACTGTTTGGGCCGGTGTTTGCTCAAAAACCATCATTGGACCATTTTTCTTCAGAGCTGGTGAAACTGTCAATGGGGATCGATATCGGTGGATGTTGGCACACTTTGTTTTACCACAAATGCGTGAAAAAGGTCTTAAGGAATTTTGGTTCCAACAAGATG